AAAAAAAAAAACACGTAGTTCTTGCTTAACTACTTCATTCCCCATCAAAAAAAAAAAAAAAACACATAGTTCTTGCTTATTGATGCGAGTCAATTCCAAATTTTTACAACAAACTGCAGCAAGAAGAGCTTTGCGATTCAATTACACTTTTTTCCTTTTTCATAAGTTCTGCAACCCTATTCAACTTTTTTTTTTTTTGTCGAAAAGACTCAAAACCACTTTCTCTAAGTAAAGGTGTTTTACCAATGAACAAATAAATAATTCATAAAAATAATGGAGAATTGAAAATAATTAATTCATCCAAACCTAGCTAGATCCCTTGGTCTCTTGTTTTTATTTATGATAAAAGACACCACAGTATGTGTACTCCTTGGTTTGATTTCTCTGTATTCAAGGTCTAACAAAAATTGAAGGCTTAGAGGAAAATATAACCATTATAGAACATAATGGGAAAATAGGATTCATGTAACCCATACTAAATAATTGAAGTAAAACCTTCGTTAATTTTAGTTATTACGATAGAATTCCTTTTATAGTTTGCAGTTCTTTTCGGATTTGTGTCACACTCAGCTCCACTCATCTCTTAATTTTCNGAATGGGAGATTATTCTACAAATTCTTCAGGTCATTGAAGATTCATATAAAGGTATGCTTGGAAGAATTAATCTAAAGTACAAAGTGGATGCAAACAAGCAAAGGAGTATCGAGCTATTTTAAGCAATAGAAACTCGAGAACGAGTTTATTTTAAGAGAGAGAGTCTGATGTAAAACAAGAATTACTAAGTTCTCTATTTTTATTTTTAACTTTATTAGGATGAGAGTTTAGTCAAGAATATTTTAGAGTGATTTAGCTGCCTAATCATGTAAATTTTCCTAATTTATTAGACATGTGTTTTCTTGTTTTAGCAAACTTTTGTATAATTAGGAATCAAGTCTGTTTTGGAAACCTTTAGGGGTTTGGGGTGCTTATAAATTTTTCTATGCACAAGTTTTGTTCAATAATCAAGTGCATATCACAATATTTTGAGAGTTTTCTCTTCATTTTCTCTGTAGATTCAAAGTGTTTTGTTCTTTACACTTAAAAATGGTAATCTCTTCATATCCTCTTGTTACCGCTGCGTCAGAAGTGATCCTTTTTTTTTTTTTGGCTGAAACTTGACTAGTAGTCCAAGGAAACTCATCAAGTATACAAAACATTTACAGATGAATAGAATTTGAAATTCCCAAACATGGTACACTTACTTTCTGGACCACAATATTTAACAAATCAAATGCTTCTTCTAAGTTGAACCCAACGTCTGACAAGATTTTTATAGAACATCTTTGCTGCTAGTTCAAATTAGGTTATACAAGAAACAACAAACAATGATATAAGTTCTTGAAGAGCACCATTAATATGAACCGGGTATCTCCATATAACCAATGAGCTAAAATCAAATAAGAACGATCTACAAGTCACTGAGTTTGCAGATAGATGGACTTCGCTGAATAAAGTGATTAGGGGCTACAATCGAAACTTGAAATAGAAAGAGAAACACCCTTAAAACTACATTTTTCTTATGATATAGACAGCTTGACCACAACCAGATTAAAATACGTTGCGTATACAGAACCCTTTAACAGAAATATTACTTTGAGAAAGAAAGATAAGTAGTGCCTTAAGGGCCCTTTACTTTTGAATTTCTACTGAATTCATTAAATTTTCGACAATTTATTAACTAAGCCTACTTTTATAAGCTTGCTATTAGGTTACTCTTTCCTACAAAGAAAGTCGACAGTGGTAATAGAGCCCATGATGTGGCACTAGCTAAATGGCATCTAAAGCATGCACTGAATAGGTGGCTCATGGAACAGAATTGATATCTCCTAGTACATTTCAGAAAGTCACAACTGTCTGAAGAAAGATTCACCGTCATATCTGGTATTGAGCACTAAAGGTACTACCACTCCACCCTCACTCAATATGTGTGTCACTAGATGACACTAATACAACAGAAGATTCATATGTTTTCCAAATACCAATGTCATTCAAAACAATGAAAAATGCCAATACTAACTAAACTAGTGTTAGCAATATTTTCAATTTAATCAGTTAACACCAAAATTCTATGATCCTTCTGCGAGCAAAAAGAAAAGGACTACGGAATATGCACTTATTGGCCAGACCAAATTAATACATGTGCTCTTGGAAACATAGTTCTTGCTTAAACTACTTCATTCCCCATCAAACAAAAAAAAAAAAACACGTAGTTCTTGCTTAACTACTTCATTCCCCATCAAAAAAAAAAAAAAAACACATAGTTCTTGCTTATTGATGCGAGTCAATTCCAAATTTTTACAACAAACTGCAGCAAGAAGAGCTTTGCGATTCAATTACACTTTTTTCCTTTTTCATAAGTTCTGCAACCCTATTCAACTTTTTTTTTTTTGTCGAAAAGACTCAAAACTACTTTCTCTAAGTGAAGGTGTTTTACCAATGAACAAATAAATAATTCATAAAAATAATGGAGAATTGAAAACAATTAATTCATCCAACCCTAGCTAGATCCCTTGGTCTCTTGTTTTTATTTATGATAAAAGACACCACAGTATGTGTACTCCTTGGTTTGATTTCTCTGTATTCAAGGTCTAACAAAAATTGAAGGCTTAGAGGAAAATATAACCATTATAGAACATAATGGGAAAATAGGATTCATGTAACCGATACTAAATAATTGAAGTAAAGCCTTCGTTAATTTTAGTTATTAGGATAGAATTCCTTTTATAGTTTGCAGTTCTTTTCGGATTTGTGTCACACTCAGCTCCACTCATCTCTTAATTTTCCTTCATTTTCTCTGTTCTTATTGTCCTTGCACTCAAATAAGAAATTACAGAGTTCCATCTCTCAAAAGCTTGATTAACTGGTGCAACACAAACACAAAAGTGCTTGTCTCTATACATATGTAAGAATATTATTGATATGTGCATTGCGATTAAGGTAAGGACGTAATACCAGAAAGCGGTGACGGAAGGAAAATCGCTGGTGGAGGCCATGATGCAGAGGGAAACGACAGCGAAAGCGAACTGGCAGAGACGTAAAGCAAGGCCACCTGGCGTACCAGGCATGCCTTGGACGTTCTTCATCCTCACTCTCAGAGGATTATTGGCTCCATCGGTCATCGGAGGAGCCTCCACCGGGTGCACCGCCGGCCGGCTCATATTCATCGAAACTTGGGCAGCCAAACTCCGATTCAGTCCCACAAATGACGCTCAAATTCACATTTGTATAATCACATAAAAGCTCATGCGAAAGTTTACAATGAATATAAACACCGATTCAGCTATACAAGAATGAGATTCGATTGGTCCAAGATCGAACAAGAGTGAGGAATTGAATGGTTTTTCAGCGTTTGGTAGGAAGGAAAAGCAAAGAGAGGGAAAAGCCAAGAGAAAAGGAGTGACAGAGAGCTCAGTGGGCGATTGTTCGGTTCTCATTGGTCATCGCTCATCAGTAGCGTGCCGTGTCTCAACACTAATGCAATTGGAGATAATTAAACGACATAATTTGCCACCAATAAAATGAAAATAAAATATATTTAATGTTGGACTTTATTATAGTATTAAATAAATTTATTATTATATTATTAATAACAATTCATTATATCTCTAAATTATGTCCATAAATTATAACTCAATAGCATTACTCATGTCTCAAAACGTCTGCACTTGGGGGTACAAGAATGGGGCCCATCATATTTCCAGTATTTAAATTTCTAATATACAATATAAACATAATAATTTAGGGTAAATTTTATCCACACTCCTATAATTAAATTTAAATTCAATAACACACTCTAAAATTTGACTCCACCTCCTTCCAAATTGTATTGAATCACTAGCAACTCTTATCGATAACTTCAGTATTTGACAATAAAAAAGTGAACGATTTGATTAAATATTATTTTAAAATGTCGAACTTACCCTCTATTATGTTAATAAACTAAAATACCTTGGGTTAGCACTTTATAAAGTTTAGTTTTTATTTTTTATTTTTGGCTAAGTAGGAAAATACATTTTATAACTATTGAAATTATTTTTGATATAAAATAAAATCATTCAACATAATAAAAGTCAAAAAATGCATACAAACAAAAAAAAATAAAAAAAAATTAATTTTAACATTTTACCAAAAAAAATTATGCTAATTATAGTCATTTTCAATTGATCCTAATAATTTTTTTTATCATTTTAAAGTTGTTGTATGATCACTTTGTTATAAATACTATTGAAAATATATATATTCATATTAGTCTACATAATCGAGTTTTTATAATTTTTTTAGTTAAAAATACTTTCTCTACAATAAAAATTACAATTGATAAAATCAATGTCAATGTTCCTCCCATTTCCAATACTTTTGCCTCCGTCTATCCTCCACACCTGGCCACTCTTCATACATCACTTTTCACGTATCAAATTGAAAATATTATTTGATAAATTTAATGTTAATTGAATAAATTTAGTCTTAATTTAACAAATTTAAATATTAATTTAGTGTTAATTTAATAATATTAAATATTAATTTATTATTAATTTGATAAAAATTAATATTCACTGAATAAGTTTGAATGTTGTTTTGATGAAATTTAATGTTAATTTAGTGTTAAATTAAAGAAATGATATTAATTTGATAAGATTAAATGTTAAATTGATAAAATTGAATGTTAATTTAATGTTGATTTGATGAAATTAAATAATAATTTACGATAAAATTAAAGAAATAATATTAATTTCATGAAATAAAATATTAAATTAATGTAACTGAATGTTAATTATCAATTTGATTAAATTAAATATCAATTTTGTATTGATTTGATGAGATTGAATGCTAATTTAGTTTAAATTAAAGAAAACATATTAATTTGATATAATTACACATAAAATTGATGAACTTGAATGTTAATATAATAGAACTAAATAGAATGCAATGAAATTTTAGAATCAAGAAGATGAGTCGTTGAAGTTAGGCCAGTGTTAGGGGGGGCGTAGATAAAATTTATTCTATAAATACTAAGGGGTATTTTTCTAAAATAATGCTCGTCGTTAACCCGGTAAGCAGACAACAATTGATATGAAAATGTCAGTGAAATTTTAAAATCAGAAGGGCCTATTATAGAATTTAGACCTAACTATAAGGGATGTGAATGAAATTTACCTAATAATGTAAGATGGAATCTCATTTTGCACTCCAAAAATTTTAAGACTTTTTACTTTATATGTCAAAGATTACAATTTTCAAATTACACCCTCAATATATTAAAAATATTGTAATGTAGTTGTTCCATTAACTTATGTTGTTTCTTTTGTCAAAACCATTACATTTACTTTGACAAAATGAATAAAAGAAACTAATGCAAGGGCTAACTTATAACATTTATAATACATTTAGAGTGTAATGTGAAAAAAATTAATCTTTGAAGATATAAACTAAAATTTTTTAAATCTTCTAGGGTATAAAGTATAATTTGTCTTAATTTTAATACAATCTTTGAAGATATAAAATAAATTTTTTTAAATATTTTAGGGTACAAAGTATAATTTGCCTTAATTTTAATACATATTATTGATAAACTTATTTAATTAATATTATTTTACAAAAAAAATGTCCGCCTTTTCATTTCCTAATATTTGTATGGGCCCAATTTGGACAAGGACGAACAGCCCAAGAGTGGTCATGCTTTAGCCTGCAAAGTTATTGGCCCATCGTGGCCCATTCCAATGTCAATTCGGACTTTTCACAGTTCTGGATTTCAAATTGAGAAGTCCCACTATCAAAATTTGGACATTTCGATGGGGTCTAGTTGCTGTCTCTTCACCCTTACATTTATGTAACTAATAGAGATGTATCGTAAATTTAGATATTTTAAATTTAATAATAATTTTTTTATGAATTTCATAATTTCAATATAGATAATCTGTTTTTAATTTGACTAAAGAAAAAATTAATCAAAGTATACTTAAATTGATTCGACCACTCCAATAGTAATACAAAAAACAGAAAAAAGAGAAAAATGTGGATGGACCTGAAGCAATCTGGTGGAGACCGCCTCACAGCCACGTCAGAGTATGAGACCTCACCAAAGCCTCACCCCCAACCCCACTGGGTGTCAAAATGGGCTCCACCAGTTTAAATCAAATTTTAGTCATTTATCACTATTTTTTTTTGATAATACTATCATTTTTTTGGGGTGTAATTTGGGAAGGTTGAAGAGTCAATTCTAACCTAACTTTAAGTATAAAATTTTTAGCCCTAACCTGACTTCAACTCAAGATACTCAACCTGAGTATTGTTCGGGTTAATTTCGAACAAGCTTGGGTTGAAATAGGGCTATTAAATTTGGGCTCAACAAATAATAATCCTAAATTAAGTTTGAGCATTTTCATAATGTTAAACTATTATATAGGTCTACATGACCCATTAAGATGAAACTAATCAAGAAAACTTATTAAGGGTGTAAGGGTGAGATTTTTTTATACACGAAAGAGGGGAGAGGTCATTTGAGTTGATTATCCGATGTGGGATGACAACTCCTTATCTTTATTTTGCTTTTTTTACTTATCCCACATTGGTTGTATAAACGTCTTTCACCATCTATAGTCCTTATAAATTTTGTTTCACTATCTCTTTCAATAATATTACTATTAATTACTATGTATTTATATTTTTATATCATTTATATAAATATAGTACATGTATTCGGGTTAAACCCGTGAACCCGAGTCTTCTTTGAATTCAATCCAGGTTGAAACTTTTCAATCCTAATCCTCAAAACCTCAACTCTAATACTTTTTTTTTTTGGATTGAGTTCAGGTTGACCCACTCAAATTATCTGATTATTAATAGTAAAAATTGAAGGTGAGTCCGCCTAGATGGACTTATAATGACTTGAGTCTTAGAAGGAAACTTATTTGGGGTAAGTTCATGTTTAAACTTATATGTAAGTATTTAAGTTCACTTATTTTTTAAATCTCAAAATTACTCCTAACGGTGTTAGTTTTGTCCAGTTATGGAAAGTCACATAGGTTAGATCATTGAGGTATATATGGAAATCCTTGATTGAGGTATATACGGAAATCCTTGATTGAGTTATATATGAAAATCGTTTATTAAATATTATGATAATTAACAAAAATTTTATATGGAAGTTATGTATTCTGGTAGTTACATATGGTAACTTGATATATAAATAAATCGTTGGTCTATTAAGTAAAAATCCAATTACAAAATTTCCTTAACAATTCAAAATTTCCTTAACATTAGTGTTACTATAGTGATACAAATGAGATTTTTTTCCTTAAAATACTTAATATCCAAAATGAAGAATTCCACCATTTCAAATATTAACACAAACCTGACCCCAATTTCGATTTTACTCTTTAAGTTTATTGTTGAATCCATTGACAAAGTTACAGTTTATTTTTTGCATTCAAAACATCTTCACAACTTTGAGATTCAGAAATAGAGTTGAGGTATGTGATTTTATATGAAAGTTGATATTCATTGTAGGGTTTTAAAAAACTTCTAAATAATATATAGTTCAAACTATTTTTTTTTTTTTTTTGCATTCCTAATTTAAAATTTGAGATTCAATATTATTAAATTAAAGTGTTATATAATTTGATTTTTTTGTTTTATTTGTTGTACAGGACATTCGAAATATCTTGATTGTGTGTCTGTGAAATAGATCATGTTATTGTATGACAATTGAAAAATGGATTTCAGAATTTTGATGTCTTGATGTTCTTGATTGATGTTGAGTGTCATAATTCAACTGTCAACGGTATTTTACTACTAGAAATTTGTAAATTTTTAATTTGTGGATCATATTTTCACTATAATCTTTTGAAAATTGATGTTACTGTGAAAATTCTATTGCTTTGTATTTTGTAAAAGTTGATGTGTTACTGAGCACAAACCTTTGATATTACTGTGAAAATTAAATGTGTATGTTACATAATATACGTTTAAAGGTTTACAATTGGTAGTGTAAGTGAAAATTGGGGTTGAGTTTGTGTTACTCTTTGAAATGGTGAAATTCTTCATTTTGGGTATTGAGTATTTTAAGGAAAACAATCTCGTTCGTGTCACTATAGTAACATTCGTGTCATTATAGTAAAATTAGTGTCATTATAGCAACACTAATGTTAAGGAAATTTTGAATTGTTAAGGAAATTTTGTGATCTGATTTTGACTTAATAGATCAACTAT